ATTCTTCTCTCACTGGACCATATTTAATTCATCCAGACACTCCTCCTAACGTTCTGGCCCCTTGCAGTAAAAATCACATGTAGATTCTTTCTTTTTTATTTTTAATTGAGATAAAATTTACATCACATTAACCATTTTGAAGTGAACAGCTCAGCAGCATTCAGCACGTTCACCATGCTGTGCACCACCCCCTCCATCCAGTTTTAAGCATCTTTATCACTTGGAAAGGAAACCCCATACCCGTTAAGCTGTCACTCCTGGTTCCCCCTCCCACACCACAGCAATCACCAATCAACTCTCTCTCCATAGATTTTCCTGGATATTTAAACAGAATTTAATAACTTTAAATATTTAAACTAATTCCATATAAACAGAATTATACAACATGTGACCATAGTCACTTGGTCATGTCACTTTGTACAATGTTCTCAAAGCTCATCCACATTGTGTATATCAGCACCTTCTTCCTTTCTGAGGCAAGGTAATATTCCATTGTGTGTATAGACCATACTTTAGTTATCCATTCATCTGTTGATATGGACTGTTTCCACCTTTTGACTATTGTCAAATAGTGCTGCTGTGGACACTCAAGTACAAGTATTTATGTGAGTCCCTGTTTCAGATCTTTTGGGTAAAGTCTAGGAGTGGAATCGCTGGGTCACATGGTAATTCTGTTTAACTTGTTGCAGAACCACCAAACTGTATTCCAACACAGCTGCACCATTTTACATTCCCACCAGCAACATGTGCAGGTTCTAATTTCTCCATATCCTTAACAACACTCGTTCTTTTCCTTTAAGAAAACTATAGCTATCCTAGTAGGTGTGGGCAGATTCTTAATAAACATTGATAAACAGAGTGTAGGCATAAGAGTTTCCTGTCTAGAAAGCAAAACGGATGAGGAAAATTTGACCAGGGTCATGAATCAATCCACATTTTTTGGATACATTTCTCCATGGGATTAAATTGTATCCCACTGATCTGAAGATTATTACCGAAGACCTACCTGTGCCTTGATGCCAGTGTGACAAGGAAAAAAATGGTAAACATTTTGGATGAAATGCCCAGTGAATGAATAAGTCTGTGACTAAGGGAAATAAGGATTTGATTTTTTTCCTTCCCTAATTCTGACCAAGCAGAACCTTGCCCTTGGCAAAGCTGGAGCCTATCATTTAGATTAGAGGGCGCAAGAATTTTCTGAGACAGAAAGTCTTCCCTAGTGCTTGTCAATCTGCTTGACTTGAATTATTTCTCAAGATAGGAAGCCCTTTGCTTTGGGTATATGAACTGGAAACAAGTGTGTCCACCATTCCGCTATAATTTAACACAGTGCTGGAGTTTCCATGCAAGGTAACAGGTGATATAAGATTTACAGTGGAAGAGATTAAAATGTCACTATTCTTAGATAACATGATCCAGAAAAATATAAGAACCCATTGGTAAAATACTAGAACTTATAGAAGAGGTCATGCAACCTAGAAAAGGCAGTGTTTCTCTGCGGTTGCATTTGTTAGCGTGATCCAGCAATCCTAGTAAGTGGTATTTCGATGCACTTGGAAGGAATGATGTCAGTTCTCCCCAGATTCATCTGCAAATTCAATGCAATTTTAATAAAATTTTCAGCTGAGGTTTTTGAGAGCCTTGATAAATTTCTGTGGGAGAGGAAGAGTAAACAGGGAGCAACTTACCCTACCAATAGGAGGAAAGCACAGACTATTCAGCAGATGATGTTAGGACAATTGGCGGATGATACTGGATCCCTGCTTAACCTCATATCAAGAAGGTGCATGCCAAATACATTAAAGACCTGAATATAAAAGTAAAGCCATAATATTAGCAGAAAAAAATGTAGGTGAAATCTTTGTGATCTCAGGGTAGGAAAAAACAAAACTCCAATATCATAGCCATGAGACAAAAAAAAAAAAAAGATGAATTTGATTGCTTCAAAATTTATAAATTTGTATTATGAAGGATTCTAGAGATAAACTTAGATATCAGAGGGGAAAAATATTTGCAATGTCTAAAATACTTGAGGAAATCCTGCAAATAATAATAAAATAAGACAGCAGTCTAATGGGGAAGTATGGATTTTGAAAATTTGTCCTGTACAGAACCGATTTTGTTTTCTGACTTGACTACATATTTCATAAAATCTGGAAAATTCTTAGACAATATTGTATAACATTGCCTTTCCATCATTCTATTTTCTTCTTCTGAATTCCTGCTAGAATCTTGGATTAAATTGTATTTTGATCCATACCTCCCTCAAGGTACCAAAATCAGCCCAAATAGATAATATATTTAATGTAAAACCTAATACCATGAAGCTTCTGATAAAACACAGGAGAATTTTTTTTTTTTTCCTTTTTGGCCACACCACAATGCACACAGGATCTTGGTTCCCCAACCAGGAATAAAACCCATGCCCCTTGCAGTGGAAGCACAGAGCCCTTTAACCACTGGACTGTCTGAGAATTCCCTGGAGGAGAAAATTTTTGAACAATTGGTTAGGCAAAGGTCTTTTAGATACAAGATCCATAAAAGAAAAGATGATATAGTAGGCTTTAGTAAAATCAAGAAATTCAAAAGACATTGTTAAGAGGATGATAAAACTGGGAGAAAATATTTACAAGTCACATATCGGATACAGGAGTTGTATCCAGAAACATAGTTCAATTAAATAAAAAGTCCCAACAATAAAAATAATCTGACAGCAGAATGAAAATAAATATTTCAGTTCATAAGTATATAAACTAATTAAATGTATTATACAGTCCTTTTCAATTTAAATGATTGCAATTAATAAAAATGGAAATATTCAATTAACTTAGCAGCTGTTCTTTACTCTTTGCATTATACTTACAGCCTGTAAGCACTGAATTCTGCTGACTGTGTATATTTCAGTAGTGAATATAAAGGTTTACTGATTATCTCTAATAATTCAATTATGCATTTCAACTTTAAAAAAAAGAACTCTGAAACGTCAATAATAGGAAAACAGAGAATCTCAATTTTTAAAAATGGGCAGAAGATTTGGACACTTCACTCAAGCAGTTATATGTATGGTAATTAGTCATGTGAATGTAATTAGAAAACTCAGCATTACCAATCATGAGGAAAATACAACTCCTTTTTTTTTTGGCTGTGCCATGCAGCATGCAGGATCCCTGTTCCCCATCCAAGGACTGAATCTATGACCCCCTCCTGCAATGCTGTGAGCCCGCCTGCAGTGGAAGCATGGCATCTTAACCACTGGACCACCTGGGAGTTCCCGGGAAAATACAAATTTAAGCCATGATAGGATACTACTACACACCCACAAAAATGACTAACTAAACAAACTGACATAGCCAATACTGGCAAGCATGTGGAGCTACTTAAACTCTCATACATCAATGGTGGGAATGTAAAACAGTCTGTTTGGCAGTTTCTTAAAATGTTAAATATATATCTACCATATAACTCAGTTTTTCAACTCCTAGGTATTTACATAAGATGAATGAACTGAAACCCACCCAAATGTCCAGTAACAGGTGGATGAGTAAACAAGGAACAGTTTGTTCATGTGGTGGAATACACCTTGGGAATAAAAATGGAATATAGTATACATTCAACAACACTGATGAACCTTAAAATAATTCTGTTGCCTTCGAGATGCCATTAAAAAAGGCATATGATTCCATTTATGTAAAATTCAAAAGTTCTAGAAAATGCAGACTCATCAATAGCAGCTGAAAGATTAATGATTGCTTGGGAATTTGTGGGAGGGGGGCTAGGGATAAGTAAGAAGTATGGATTATAAAGGAGCATGAAGAAACTTCGGGGACTCTGATCTGTTCATTATCTTGATGTGATATCAGTGGTAAGTGAAAGCAGCTCAGATGTGTCCTACTCTCTGCGACCCATGGACTATACAGTCCATGGAATTCTCCAGGCCAGAATACTGGAGTGGGGAGCCTGTCCCTTCTCCAGCGGATCTTCCTGACCCAGGAATCAAACCGGGGTCTCCTGCATTGCAAGCAGATTGTTTCCAACTGAGATACTTTGATGCGGTGATGGTTTTATACGTATATCATGTGCCCAAACTTATGAAATTGTATACTTTGTACACATCCAATACACTATATGTGACTTCTACCTCAATAAAACAGTACCTCTGTTGCCTGAACAGAGTGGCTACCTCCCAGCTTTGTTGCCAGAAATCAAATAAGTAGAAACTCTTATAACAGCTCTTGGCCTGTTAGTGATAAGGGCTCAAAATGTGTTATTTCTTACTGCTGTTATCAATACAAACATGGAGGCTCAGAGAAAAGTTTTAAGAAAGGAGTTTCTTACTAAGCAGGCAGTATTACCACCTACAAAGGGGAAATGTACAGGAATCAAATGACTTGCAAGTAAAATTTCTTAGTTTTTCTGAAATCTGTTCTTTCTGTTCTTTAAAAGTGAATTTTTATCTTAAAAAATAGTAAAAAAAATCCTATTGACAGCCAAGCCAATTCTAATTTCAGTGTTAAATAGGATGCTTGCATGATAATTTCTCCAAATTCCCTATAATTCCCATTTTGCGTTGGTTTAAATTGCCTGGAGAATTCCATGGACAGAGGAGGCTAGTGGGGTCACAGAGAGTCGGACACGACTGAGTGACACGCTCACTTTCACCTTCAAATCCTTTGGAATCGCCTGGGAAATTTTCCCAGGAAAACAAGTTTGTGAGAGGGAGAGAGAACCGAGTAAGCAGCTTTTCTTGGCACAGAGGATATTACTGTTCAACATTAGTAACTGAGTACTTATATTTCCTTAGATAAGCTCGTGTCTGAGCGATAACCCAATTCCTGCAACCCCAGAAACACAGTCTATAGACTACTTCTCCCCAATCTGCAAGCCCCTTTACCATGTGGAAGTGTTAAATACCCTCTGTCTTAGGTCGGTTCTCTGACTCCTCATGATCCATTAGAATTTTTTCTTTAGTAAAAATGTCAGAAATACACGCGCCTAACGGTTCAGGACCGTCGTCTCTGGAAGAATGTGTGAGATACTCTTTCCCCTATCTTCATTTGCGTGCATTTGTATTTACCTTCGATTTTCGTGTATTGCGTCTTAAAATTTGCCCCCCTCCCTCCTTTTTCATTCATGTTTTGAAAATTGCTTGGCTGGGCCAATTTCACTGTGTCATCTGTGTTGTTAAATCTCTCCCTCGCTGGCTGGCGGCTGCGGGGAAGCCCCTCACCTCCAGGTGCGGCTGCAGGGTGGCGCAGAGGAGTTGGGGCGGGGGCGATGCAGGGTGCGGCGAGAGGGGGCGGGGCAGGTGGCGGGGCTGGGGTGAGGCGGGGCTGGGGTGAGGCGGGGCTGGGGTGACGCGTGAGTGAGGGGAATGTTGAGGGGGCGCGGCGAGGGCCGGGCCTGTGCCCGGCGCACATGGGCGGAGCCTCCCGAGGGCCGCCGGCTCGCGGCGTCGTGCTCTCTGTGCAGGCGCGCGTAGGTTCCGGGCGGGGCGACCTTGTGGTCTCCGTCTTGTGCCCGTGCTGTCGCGCGTTGAGGTTGGCTCCATGGTGAGTGCGGGCGGCTGGAGGCCGCGAGAAGGGGCGCGGGGCGGGGGCAGAGGCACTGCCGCCTGGGCCGCGTCCTTGACTCGGGAGACCCCCTGAGGGCCGCGTTCGGGAAAGAGGCCGCGCCGGCTGCGGCGTCTCCATCCTGCTAACCGCCGAGGCGGCCCGAGCGCGGCCCAGAGGGCGGAGCGACTGACTCCCGGCCGACCCCCGCATCCCGGAGAGGTGAGACGAGCTCCGACGCTGCCCGGCGTGGAGCCTTCGCGGCACGCGTCTTTCAGGCCTAAATACGGATCCATGTGAGTGAGGGGATCTAGACTGGAGGCGGTGGTGGTTTGAATACCGGGTTTCCCTTGTTGCTTAGTCGCTCAGTCATATCCGACTCTAGGACCCCACGAACTGCAGCACGCCAGGCGATTTCCCTAGTTTCCTTAGATTTGTGGCCTATTACCTCTCGCTGCGCTGTCTGGCGCAGCTGTCCGGGGCCGGGGGGCACTCCAGCCGCGGCCGGCCCGCAGTTGTGGAGGCGCGCCCGGAGCCTCCGGTCGCTGTGTGTTCTCAGAGAGGCAGGCCCCGAGGTAGCTTCCCGCTGAAGTGAATCAGTCTCCTAGGCTCTGTTGGAACAAGGCATCTCTACCGAGGCCAGGAGGGGGCTCCGGGAACCTCACCGGGAAAACCCCCCTGCCTTCCACCCTCGGACCCGAACCCCATCTAAGCTCCAGGAAAGCAACGGCAGAAACCCAGAAAAGGAGCGTGTCGCTCAGGGGAAGAGAGAAGGGAACTGGGGATAGGGACGGAAGGCATGAGAAATGTGGCCGGTGTGGTGGGATGCTGGGCGATTCTCCCCTCCCTTCATTCTGCACTACTCCTTTCCAGAAGCTGGTCAGCTTTGTAACCATATCCGGCATCTGGAGTTGTGTTTTTCTGTTGTTCCTGTTCTTAGAAAAGTTGTTGCTTTTCTGTTGTTATTACTCTCAATCAAGAGTAGCAGTAGTTCCCGGAGGGTTTGCCAGGATTGTGCGTTTTTGTCTCATTTGACAGAAGGAAAAAAAAACTTGAAGGGGAATTGACTAGTGAAGAATCAGTAAGAGGCACATGGAAGTCCTGGCTTGTGCTTTCCACACGATCACACAGAAACGTGTTTCCTTAAAAAAAAAAAAAAAAAAAATCCTTCTGAGTTACAGCAAGTTAAAAAAACAGTTAAAAACAAAAAACCCCCACAAAACACCCAAGTTCAGGGCCCCTGTCCCTTTTTTCAAAACTATGAGGATTCTCAGACTCAAGGGGTTAATATCTTAGCAGTAAAACAGTTACACAAAACAGCCTGTAGGTTTTCTCCCCTGCAATACCAGTTTTAAGGAAGGCATCATACTGTGAGACACTATCATCTGCTTGATAATTCCGCCTTAGGTGTTTCTGTTAGCGGGCAGGGCGGTGAGGGAGGAGTCACGCGGGGCAGCTGTCAGCCCTCCTCTCCTCCTCCAGGATCACAGTTACCCAGGAGCTCTCATCATCCTGTTGCCTCTTCCTCTTCCAGGAATGCCTTCCCTGGTTTGGACAGTCTTCCAAGAACAGCAGAAAATGAGCAAATGCCAGATGAAGTGTTTCTCTTCTCTGTTCCCCATTTTGTTTTCCAGTGGATTTCCTGGTGTTATATTAGTGTGTTCATATATTAAGATGGAATAGTAGAAACAGATAAAAAGCTACCAGAATGGGGTTCATCTTGTCCTTCCTGCCCCTCACCTCATCCTGGGTGGCATCTAGGCTATACTGCCTTTAAGATGTCATCATATCTTTCCTTTTTTAAAAAATTTTTTAATATTTTATTCATGCATTTATTTTTGGCTGTGCTGGGTCTTCGTTGCTGCACAGGTTTTTTCTTTAGTTGTGGCAAGTGGGAGCTACTCTGGTCGAGGTGTGCAGGCTTCTCATTACGGTGGCTTCTCTTGTTTCAGAGCGTGGGCTCTAGGGCACGTGGGTTCAATAGTTGCAGCTTCTGGGCTCTAGAGCATAGACTCAATAGTTGTGGTGCATGGGCTCAGCTGCTCCATGGCATGTGGGATCCTCCCAGATCAGGGACCAAACCTGTGTCCTCTGCACTGGCAGGTGGACTGTCCACCACTGAGCACCAGGGAAGCTCCTCGTTGCTGTCTAATGTAAACGTTACGGATGCGACAGAGACTGTGTGTGTGTCTTCACTGGCTCCTCTCTCTCTTCAGTGGCCACACCTCCCACCTGTGGAGGCACAAGATACCCTGGTGCTTTCTTCTCCGCTGGGAAGAAGACAGTAGATTGGTTACATTTAAACATTTAATGAAAGAAAGGTAAGTTAAGCTAATCATTATTGTGTAGATTAAGAGAATGTATATATTACTCTAATGCTAGGAAAGAAGGCAAAAGGAGAAGGGGCGGCAGAGGATGAGATGGTTAGATAGCATCACCAATTCAATGGACATGAATTTGAGCAAATTATGGGAGATAGTGGAGGACAGAGGAGGCTGGTGGGCTACAGACCATGGGGTGACAGAGTCAGATATGACTTAGTGACTGAACAACAAGAGAAATATGTTACTTATTAAAAATAAATTGGGGGTGCTCAAAACGTGATACTCAGGGTGGTGATGAAGTATTTTGGAGAACACTCAATTCCAGGGATGAGTCCAGAATTACTGCACAGTGTGTTCCCAAACACCTTTGCAGCTTTTCATCTTCTCATGGCCCTGCCCTGTTCCTGTTTCTGTCATACTGCCGTGCGTTTTTCATGCCTCTTTGACTCTGTATATGCAGTGGTACGACATTAGTAAAGGTCTGCCATTCAGTGAAGCCTGGCCGGACAACACAAAAGAGAGTCATATTTTCTACATTATGTAACACTGATTTTTAGCATAGCTCTAATAATACCTTACTACAGGAAGAGTATTCGTAGATATAATTTGTCTGCTTTAAGCTCCTTGAGGGCCAGACAAAAAGGACTGATTTAACTCAGCAGTCTTGGCAAGCTGGGACAATTTCAGATGCATGGTAGGAACTTCAGAGTTTTTGTGGAAATTAATAAGTTAATACACCATCTGGATTTTCCTGTCACAATACCACTTCAGTCTATAAAGTAAACCACACAACAGTGTGTAGATTGGCAGCCTGTATAATATTTATGCTAAACTTAAACATGTTAAGAATTATTTTGCATATCTTTCATGTCACTCAGTACTGATGTCTTTGGTTTAAATAGAAGTGTGCTGGCCAAGGACCCATGTCATTCAAGGACATGACTGTGGACTTCACCCGGGATGAGTGGTGACAACTGACCAGTATCAGAGGACCCTATACTGGGATGTGATGCTGGAGAACTATAGCCACCTGGTCTCTGTGGGTGAGAAGTCTTCTCTGTGTAATGCCACACTAATTTTCTTTCATTAGCTGCCGAAACTTATGAGCCCTTGGTGAAGCTTTATGATACTAGTGTATTCATCTTATGGGTCAGAAGTGTTTGCTTGGGCACAGAAAGCTTTCTGTTGTCACCTTCCGAAAGAAAGGTTCAAATGGGCACCTTTATCACATGACTCCTGAACCTGCACCTTCCTCATCCTTCAGGGGCTCTGATGTCCAAGAAGCTTGTCAGAAGTCTTACCCCATGTCTTACTCACAGGGTACTGCATTGCCAAACCAGAGGTGATCATCAAGCTGGAGCAAGGAGAAGAGCTGGGGCCATTAGAGAGAATTCCCAGGCTAGAGTGGTCCAGGTGAGTTAACCATTATCAGGTTGGGAAAAAAGAAGCCACTGGAAATGTGGAGCAGGCAGAATGGTTCAGAAGCTGGGAACTTTGACCTCTGTGTCAGTAATACTCTTCAGGGGCCTCAGACCTTTGAAAGTAACTGAATGGCAAGCCAGCCTGCCTCAGGTAACCCGAACTGCACTTCTTTCCACCACTCTTAAAACACCAGTGCTTTCCTTTCCTGCCTGACTTTTAAGGAAGGTGACCATTCTTGTTCCCAGCATTGACCGCCTGCCTGCCTTTCTTAGACCTTTGTTCTTGGTTTCTCCTTCTCTAGTATTCATTTCCCTCCATTTTCATGGACTATTTTCTTTTCAGTTCCTGCACCTGCCCCGGCATTCATTTATTCATTCTGCCAATATTCCTATCCTGTGCCACCCATGCTCTTGGAGTTGAAGATACACTGATAAACCAGCACTTTCCCTGAGCTCCTGGAGCTTACACACTTTTCTCAAATAGAAATTTAAACAAGGCATTTTACATTATTCTACTTAATTTCTCTTTACTTCCACTAGGATGTAAACTTCATGGGAACAGGGTCTTTTTTCTTTCATGTCTGTTTCCACTATCTCATACAGTGCATTCAGCATTTAATAAAAGTTTGTCAAATAATAAATTCCTACCATTCATAAGAAAAAGTCCAACAACCCAAGAGAGAAGTGAACAAAAGACATACATGGAAAGGAGACACAAGTGGGAAAAAACACAAATGATAGATAAGAATATCTACAACTTCATTGGTAATCAGAGAGAGAAAAAGTATGACAGTGAAATAGCATTTGCCAAAAATTATGATACTGTTATTAAGACGTTTTAACAAACAGTTCTGATCATTCGATCACTCTGTCTCCTGGGAAGTTTGTTAACAACTAGGCTTCCAATGTCTCTTCCCTTTAACGCTTCCTCAGTACTCATCTGTTACTCAGAGTTAAGCTTTTTGCTTTACCCAGTGACTGAAAAATTCTACCCCCTCTATCTCAGCCTTATCTGCCCTCTACGCTGCATTTTACCTGAGGTGTTACAGTTCTTTGTCAGTATGGAAGAGACTAACCCTGAAATCTTTTCTTCCAAAATGTAAATCTCACATTCTTTGTTTCCACTTAGATTCTAACACTTTTCTTCTCCTGTATCTGACGACCACAAAAAGCACACGTAGTACTGATCTCTCCCTAGTTTCTCTTACTTTTTAATTTTCTTTTGAAAACTGTCTTCTCTGCCTTTTATTTTTACCTTCCAGTGACCTCACTCAAAACTAGAACCTTATTCTCTGAGGCCTTATTTCATTCCTAATTGTAAGTATATATTTTAAAATCTAAAGCATCTGTTTTGTCTTGTTGTTGGCCTTATATAGACCTAGGACTGCCCTCTATTACTTAAGACTCCTCTTCTTAAAACACTTCAAGCCATAGTCATCCTTTTTTGTTGATGTTGCCCAGACACTTACGGTTAAGTTCCATTTGATTTACCTCCTACATACTGCTCATACGTATGTCTTACCCACACCTGCACCTGTTTTTGAGGTTTGCCTTTCCAGACCCTGAAGAAAGAGTTTAGGGCTGTGCGTGGTGTGTAGTTAACGCTTCTGTGTTTTACACTAGTTGATGTTTGAGTTCAGGTTCACACCTGTTTTGAAGTGCTTTGTACTCTCTCCCCTCTTAGAATTCACATTTCAGTTAGTGGCTGAGCCACAAGGACTCAGACCTCACCATGCACTGGAGAGCTTGTGGGGCCTCTTTTTTTTAAATTTTTTTACTTTTCTTTCGTTTGATGGGTAATACATAACAGATATGCTCATCTATTAATACTCACAGGTTTGACCGACTGTTCAGAAAGCATTTCCTAAGTACATAGGCCTACATCACTTACTTGCAAATTCTGATTCATAAGGCATATATATTGACACTGACCTATGACAGTTTATCCTCCATGTTTTGAATAAAAATTTCCAGGTAATTCTGGGGCCAGGGAGGGATAATTTAGGAGGTTGGGATTAATATACACACAGTACTGTATGTAAAATAGATAACCAACAAGGACCTACTATATAGTACAGGGATCTCTGCTCAATACTCTGTAAAAACCTATATGGAAAAAGACTCTGAAAAAGAATAGGTATGTGTTTATGTATAGCTGAA